GCAGCGGCTGTTGACACGCCAGTGGGCTAAGGAAGCCTTTGTCTTTTGCGACACCAGCCAGAGAATAAGGAAGGCTATGCTTCGTCAAAGCCACCCTATTCGTGGCCCTTACCAGACCGGCGACCTCGTGAACTACTTTCGCCGTGGTCGGTGGTACGGGCCCGCTCGGGTTCTATCCCCCGAAGGCAAGCGCTCTTTGTGGCTGGTGCATTCCGGAATGACTGTTCTTATTTCGGACACCTGCTGCCGACCAGCGACCGTTGAGGATATCAGGCGGAAGCAAGCTCTTGAGATGCGCCCGGCATGGCCTTCGCAGCGGGGAAAGAGAAAGCACCAGGACCTGCTTGACAACGACCTTGAGGATCTTCCCTTCGCCTTTGACGTGCCGGCGGACGACGAGGAACAGCCAGCCCAGTACTTCGACTTTGGCGGCCGTGTTCCTCCCGGAGAAGGCCAACAAGAGACTCCGGTTGCCACGCAGCAGCCGGCCATTGCGGATGGCTCCCCTACGGAACCAGACCTGGAGATGGCCGAAGAGGCGGCAACCGAAAGGCAGGTGACGCAGCCGGAGCAAGAGCCCGCAGAAGCGCCAAGCACCACAGCAAGCTCGGCGCTACCACCAGGAAATCCAACGACTACTTCTACTTCGGCGGGGTCTGGAGACGCAGCAGAGACGCCTCAAGCGCCACAGCAAGCGGCACTACCAGCAGGAAATCCGACGACTACTTCCACTTCGGCGGGGTCACAAATTACGCCTTTGCAAGAGGCGCTTCGAAGGTCTGTGGATCAAGTCGATGGCGTGGTCAGGTCTCGCTCACCTTCGAGGGCACCTTTGGCACCGCCTGGTCTGGGTCACCTAGCTTCTCTTCCTGAAGCACGAGACGTTTTCCAGGAGCGCAAGGTGAAGAACATGCTTCAGAACCAGAAGAAGGTGCATGCCTTCCTGGCACAGAGGGGAGAGAAGAAGTACCGCAAGAAGGTGCAGAAGCAGGGAAAAGGGAGAGAGATCGTCTACCAGCAGGCCACGGACGACGTCAAGAAGCAGCTCGACGAGACACGCCGGAAGGAATGGGACAACTGGAAGGGCTATTCCAACATGAAGAAGATCACGGCGGCAGGGTTCGAGAAGATGAGGCGGCTCAATCCGAACCTCAAGGCCATCGCCACGAGATGGGTCGACATCGACAAAGCCGAGAAGGGGCAGCCACCAAAATACAAAAGCCGGTTTGTTGTGCGAGGGGATTTGGAAGATTCCTCCAACATGCGAACCGACAGCCCCACGGGTTCCCAAGTTGGCATGGGATTGGTCCTCAGCTACGCCGCGGCCACCGGAAAGCCCTTGCACTCAGGCGACATCTCGGCCGCCTTCCTTCAAGGATCTGTCTTGGACAGACAGCTCGTGCTTCGGATGCCGAAAGGGCAAGCACCCTACGACATGGAGGAGGACGACCTCATTGTCGTTTCCACGACGGTCTACGGCACCAAGGACGCACCCAGGGGCTGGTTCAAGAACCTGGACGGGACCTTGGTGAATGAAGGCCTGCGTCGTGTGCCGTTGGAGTCTGGCTTTTACGTGCTCAACGAACAAAACAGCGACGGCAAGGAGATCGTGGCTGGCCTGCTAATGATCCATGTAGATGACCTCCTATGGGTGGGTGGTCCTCGCATGGATGATATAATGGCGAGAGTAAAAGCCAAATACTCCTTTGGGTCGCTCGACTCCAAGGTCTTCCGCTACTGTGGGAGATTGATAGAGCAGACCGAGAACGGTGTGAAGGTCACCTGTCCTGACCTGATAACTCGTGTACGTCCAATTCAGCTAGAGCAACGCCGCCGTGGACAACGCGAAGCTCCAGCTTCAGAGGACGAAAAGAACCAGTTGCGATCCATTATTGGGTCGCTTTCGTGGCTCACGCGAGTGTGTCGGCCCGACCTCTCCTATGGTGTGGCCAAGCTGCAGACGGCGATGACCAAGCCATGTGTGCAGGACCTCCTCGACGCCAACGCTCTTGTTAAGTACGCGGGCCGGACCAAGGAGGAAGGATTGGTCTACAAGGCCGGGGCCATGGACTTCGAGTCGGCGACGATTGTGGCCATACAAGACGCATCTTATGCGGCCGACTTCGACGTCAGCGCCAAAGGCGACAAGATGGGCTACCGCAGCCAGTCGGGCAGGCTGCTTTGCCTGGCCCACAAGGACTACCCCGAGAAGCTGGACGGCGTGCTGTACCCGGTGGAGTGGCACAGCACGGTGATCAGGCGAGTTTGCAAGTCTACCTTGCAAGCTGAAGCGCTTTCGCTTCAGATGGGGGCGAACGAAGCAGAGCATCTACGTGCCGTTTGCCATGGACTCCTGAAGCCTATGGCCAGAACCGATGCGAAGCAGTGGACGATAGATGCTCAAGACGGACGGCAAGTGGTTTGGGTAACCGACTGCTACAGCTTGCTCTCTCACCTGACCAACCCTACTGGAACCAGTGTAGCCGACAAGCGGCTGGCGATCGACCTGTGCAGTTTGCGGCAGGAGCTTTGGAGAACTGAAGGAGAAGAAGTCGGAGACCCGTTGTGTACAGACCGTTTGCCAGAGCAGCCAAGCACCAGACTTGTTTGGACCACCACCGACCGGATGGTGGCAGACTCCCTCACGAAGAAAATCGTGGGACATGAGCCGATCTATCGGCTCATGAGAGGTGAGACCATACTTTTACTGCCAAATCCACATCAGAAAAATACTACGGGTGTGAAATCTAGCTCTGTTGTTGCAGAGGAACAGCAGGCCTGATGTGGATGCGGCAGTGCTACGTACGACTCGGATGGCTCAAGCCAAGCGAAAAGGTGTGATTGCCTTTCACATGTGCATTCGGCTGCTTTCTTTTCAGAGCGGAAGTCTCTATATAACGGGACCGTGACAGAGGGCGACCGCGATGACGAGTAGTATCTAAGACCTACGGCAACGTTGCTATGCGTACTATGGGTGTTCACCCGCGATTTTTTTCTGACTGGCCTTCCAGGCGAGAGGCTTATTCTTGAACTGGTTTGAGCTACACGTTATTGAGAGAACGCAATAATGTACCAGAATTCACCATGTTGTGCTAGACTGCACCGTGTTCTGTATGCAACCCTATACTCTCTTTAGGTAGCTACTGCCTGTCCTGAGGATGGTGGTCGCATTGCTGCAGCACTTTCCAGCCACCAGCCTTGCGGCGGTCTGGAGCCCGGTTTGTGACTTTCGCATCTCGGCTTGTGGGGTTTGGTGGGGTTCTGGGGTTTGGCGCTTCAGAGTCTAGGGTTTCAGGGTTTGGCATCTTTACGAACTTTGAGAGAGGTAAACCGCTTGAATCGGGCCTCAACGTGCCATAATCATTACGGCTTTCGATCTCAAATGCAATCGGTGGCTCTGCCTTGTCCAGCATCCAACGTGGAAAAAATCAAGAAGTTGTGGAAACTTCACGCTTTTTTCAGCTAGTGTTTTCCGTGCTATGACGCAGTGGATTCGCGGGACATTGGTTATCAGCCAATGAAAATGATCCCATTCTTTCTGGTGTAACTTTGCCTTTGCCGTCGGAGACACACCGGCAAGCATTAAAACTTTTCCCTTCATCATCCCGTCTCTGCCGTCAGACCCTTAGTATCCAAGGTCTCCTGGGCCACATGCATTTCTTCAGCACTCCGGCGTAACATAAAGTCCCATCTCCGTTGCAGCTCCGGGTGCCCGTTCCCGAAAGCTCAAGGGCCACGGGATCTTCAGCCCAAAGCCTGAAACCCAGGCACTGAACCGTGCAATGACGCAGAGAGAGCCTTGAGTTCGTAAGCGGAGCAGGCATTGGTTGGCTTTCTGAACTTCTACGGCCGGCGCTTTGACCCACAGTCGGTCAGCCCAGCTGCCAGACTGACAGCACAGGAAGGTAAGGTTTGGACAGACTAGTGCTGTGTCGGCTACGTAGCATTGAGGTGCTCAGTGCAGCACACAGAGTCGAAGACTTCCCTCAAACCAGACAAGCTATCAGTGAGGACATGCCCTAAATCTCCAGGGATCACGCCCGAACTGTGCATGCCCAGGCTTTATGGTGTCAGCGTTGCCCGCGCAGCGTTTCTCAAGAGGCTCTCTGCCTCTTCACGAGAGAAGCTTTCAGGATCTTTCAGGCCCTGTGAGGTAAGGACCTATATGAGGTCAAGCAGGGTGCTGTCGTGGCGTAGTAATTAGCCTGCTCCGCAACCGAGTCACCGCAGACACATTGCGCCTCCGGCAAGCTTAAGACGCGGAGCTCTCCTTGCAGGAAGAGTCCCACGACTTGGCCACCAGAACAGGCCCGGGCTTGGGGTTTCGCAGGAATCCGGCCCGGGCGCGGGAACTGAGACATAAACCGCTTGAGGCAGCCACTCTTCTTGCTACTGACAGGCCGAGCTGGTGGAGCGTGGCCTACTGCACCCCACTAGTGCACCTGCAGGCAGGGACGAAGATTTGCAGCGTTAAGGGCATTTGCGGATGAATGTAATGAGTCTGGGGTGGAGCGACGGGGGTAGTCTCACCATGCCCGCCTAGAGCCACAGCCAGAAGTGTTGGTGGTCTGTGAGCCTCTAGGCCGTGCGTATGCCTGGATCCTGACAAGGCAAAGAGATCTGCGGGGAGGAAGCTCACAGGTTTGATCCGCTGTGGGCAAGCGCCTCATTCACCGCCGAGTGGTCCAGTCCATGCTCTTGCTGCAAGTGAAGTAGCGCAGCTCAAGACAGCCATCGGCGAGTATGAGTACTTGTATGGATACGACTCACGAAGGTTGCTTGAGTTCCTGCGATTGCCTGAGGCTGCAAGGTGCGACAGGGTTGGCTGGACAGGGTTTTGGCAAGGTTGCGCAATGTTCCTCAGCCAAGCTGCTCAAGGGCTTGGCCCTGCACATAGCAGAACACAAGAGAATCCACGGCCCCGAAACCCGCCAGAAGCACTAACAGGGTGTCTGTCTGTTGTCGTTTATGCTTGACCTGCGCGTGTCCCCAGCCCACCAATGACGACGGCAAATGCGATCGCGCAAGCCGTGGTGGCGATGTCAGAAACACGCGAAGAGGTAGTGCGCCGACAGACCCTCACCTGCTCGAGTGGACCCAGGAATCCCATCATAGTCGCCTTATTGCTAAGTATTGCTACTACGATGACTGTCTCGCTGCGGCTGAAACTAGCGTCATGGTTATGATTTCTGTTGTACCTAGAGATACTCTTATTGCCGGTTTTGCTGTTCTAGCAGCTAGCGTACCAGTCCTTGTTATTCTCGTTTTTGACAAACTCATCCTTATGACACAATTGCTAGTTCAGTCATTATCACAACCAGTAAGTTGCTTCGATTCTTGCTGTTCTTCGTTCCGCTACCGTTTCCTCTACTATTGCTCTTAACCTATTCCTGCTATCGTTGCTCTTGTTACAAGGATTGTGCTTGATACTCGGGCTACGACTAAGACTGCTTCCTCCAAGGCACATCCCCTCTTCTGCCTGCTTCTTTCAGTCACGGAGGATTTCGCTCTGCATCTCAGGATCGAGTCGGAGTATGTTGATTACTATCTCGAGATCCAAGCGTCCTTCGGCGGTGGTGAGCGATACTACACCGTGGAACCGAAGATCCCGGGCGAAGACTCAGCAAACTGTGACATGCTTGGACTTTTGTTGCCGGCTTCTAAAGCTCTGGTTTTCTCCCTTCTTAACCCGCGAGTCGAAGCTGGTCCAGATCCTTTTGAGTCAGTCTTTAGGCCCTCCTCTCCCTCCCTCACTTCAAAGCACAAAGGATTGATGATGGGCGCATCGTTGCCCAGACTGCCACTGGCTACGAGGCTCCCGGTGCTTCAGACGGGTTCTTTGCTTGCTCCCGCGTGCCGCATGTTGCACTTTGGCTTGGGATTTCGGGGTGCTGCAGATTATCTTCGACATACCCTTGTCGGGCCCTGTCGTGTAAATGCGTGTCCGCTAACCGGTACAGGGTTTGGTTCAGTCCGGGCGAATCGCACTGACAGTCGGAAGGATACACCCTGGCAGCAAGAATGTTAGAAGGGGATTGGTGCAGCCCTTTCGAATTTGCAATTCCGAAGCCGATCAAGCAGCCTGAAGCAGAAACTCCACAAACTCCTGAATCCTGCATGTCACATCATGTCACATCGCAAGCCACCGACGACGCTTGGCGAGGTGAAGACGCTGCATGACATGGGCCTAGCCTCTGACTTCCACTCTGGGATGCAGCTGGTCAATCGTCTGAGGCCTTGTGTGGGGGTTGTGAAGTTTTCCCACTGCTTTACGGGTGCTCGAAGATATTCAGATGTGAGATGGTAACGCCAAAAACCTTAGCGGGAGCAGCGTTCCCCCTTCCTAAATACCCCGTGGTATTCAGGGCCCTGATTTTCTAGACTCTAAACCCTGCAGGGTTGCTCTTGCCTTGAGGCGGCATGGCTTTAACCTCGTCGGGAACAAGCCAGAGGTGGGCCTAGCGAAGCTGTGAACTCCCATGATTTCGAGATTGTCCGCGGCGGGCAAGAATTTGCATGGCTTCTCTGACTGTGAGCATGCTCTTTGGAGCTTTTCACGTCCCGTTCGGTTACGCTCCATCGCTGCATTGCAATTGAGGACTTGGTCCCCATAAACAACACACACCCTTCCTCCAGCAGAAGCTGGGAGACCTTCTTCGTGTTCAGCATGAAGGCGACTCCGCCCATGAGATTCTGAGGGATGTCGGTCGGTCATGCTTGAGTTTGTTGAGGGTTGGGGACACTTCCCACTTCAAGCCTAAGGCGTTTGAAGGCCATTTTGTGCAGGAAGGCCATTCTGTAATCATTGAAACCTCTGTAAGTTCCACACGCGAAGCTTCAACCTCCCGTCCAGACCCTGGGCAGAAGAATCGAAGTCGCCACTCAAACAGTTGCTACGTCCCAGAGAACCGGTTGACTTGCCGCACTTGCGCCTGCGGCCTCAGAGGTACCTCTGAGCTTCCTTCGTGAACACCCTGAGGTGGCGTAAGGACACGGGCATGCTCTGTCGGTGAAGTCGTCTTGACAACAGCTGATGTGCGCATCCGGTAAAGACATGTTAGGGCATGCTGTCCGGAATTATGGAGCATAGCAGCCTTAGAGAAACAGCAAGAACATCAGCAAGGTGATTCAGATCACGATTTAAAGATACTAGAATCGCAATTTGACACTGAAGACGATGACGGTGATGATGACGATAATGACGATCACGATGCTCATGACTCGTAGTAGCAGTAGCAGTTTGATGGTGATAATTGTGTTCATGCTCCGCACGTAGCGATGATTGCAAAGATGCTGCTGTTGGTGGCGATGAAGGTGTTGGCGATGACTTTGATAGTGTTGACAGTGGTGCGACTTTGGATCATAGTGACCCTGATGGTTATGCTGATGGCCATGATCACGACGACTATTCCGAGATGTCGACCGCCATGACACAGGAGAGCCGCACGAGAGCATTGATTTCAGCCAGAGTGATGGCAGAGTCTTCAAGTGCACGAGTGATGGGCCACAAGAGCCCCAGACCAATGTACTGGTGCCTGCTCAATTTTATGGCCGGGAGTCAGGCTATGCCGCGACACAGGATACCATGTCCCTGCCTTGCGGCTTCTATCATCATGAGTAGCAGGGTTGCCTGGAACAGCCCGTTGAGGATTGCGGAATCTGAAACCCTTGCTGCAGTATCCGCATCAGGTTACGTGTAGGACTCAGCGAGTGGATCTGTAGATGTCTCGGCAGCTATGCACCGGGGTTAGATGCAGCAGACCCTGCTGACTCTTGCTTCACCGAAAAAGGAGAAACGGAAGGAAAACCGCCCAAAGGGCACTCCTCGGCTTTAGGGCTTCGGGCTTGGGGTTTCGGCCTTGCGGTTTCGGCCTCAGCTTTTCGGCCCTAGGGTTTCGGCCTCAGGGTTAGGGTTTCGGCCTTGGGGCTTTGGCTGTCGGGTTTCGGCTTTCGGGTCTCAGCCTTAGGATTCCGGCCTTGCGGTTTCGGCCTTAGGGTTTCGGCCTTTGGATTTCGGCCTCAGGGTTTCGGCCGTAGGGTTTCGGCTTTATCCATTTTGTGTTTCAGACGCCTGCAACCCGGCTGTGGAGGTACCGAATCTACCTTAGTGAAGATGTACCCAGGAATTGCTCCGGAATTTTGGCCCCAAGGTGCCTTAATTGGCGCCTCACGCGTCCGGAAGTGGCAGACGCTGTCCGTGACACGGGTTCCTGAATCCCGTGTTTTCCCGAATCCCGGTTTCCGAATCGGCCACGCAGTTCCTGAATTTGGTTCTCGAATTGCTTGTTATCCGAGTCCCCGACCTCGCCCTGGACGTATCCATAGCTCTGTGTCATAGTTGTTTCGGGTTTTGGGATCCTGTTTTGAAATGCGCCAAACCGCTGGTGAGGTCTCTCCACTGCAAGCAAAGCCGGAAGCTGCAATGCCAAGGTTGAGGATCCGGTGAACCCGACGAACAACGTTGGGCTCGGGGGCCGAGTCGTGAGAGCTTCGTTGGTGGGTGCATGCGCTTAGAAGTTCTCTTCCAAAGCGGTCTGCTGGCCTTGCTGAGCGCTGGCGGGTTTTGGCTTTGAATTTTGTTTTCCTTGGAGGCGAAACTGCTTCCGCATCCGCCAGATTCAGCGGTCACTAGCACGGGCCGCAGACGTGGTGGCTGCAAACGAGGCTGGCGGGGGTCACTCCGAGGGATCAAAAAGCCAAGTCTCTCGAGGAAGAGCTTTTCCTAAGAGGCGTACTACACTGGCGATCGGAATTCTTTTGGTGGAACCGTGCAGAAACCAGGACCACAGCAACCTTGCATTCGTGCCGGGGTGTGCTGCGTGCAGAATTGGACAGTTACGCTCCCCGAGAGGCCGGTGCGACTCTCCGGGCCATTCTCAGGGTGACAGTGGCGCGTTTGCTTTGTGCAAGGGTGCCATTTCGCCACCCCTTTCTCAGCATAAACCCGGTATTCTATATTCGGCATTAAGTGAGTTCGTGAGACATAGGGTAGAAAGTTTAGGGTGTGTGTTGTTAAGACCGCGGCATAGCAGTGTTTGGCATGACTGTTGCTGTTTCGGTCTTGTTGCTGGTTATATTGAGGGCATAAGCATTGTAGGTATGACTACCGCCCTACTGATTGACTGGTCACCGTATTTTTCCTGGCCAGTGTGAGTGGTCTGATGTTCTTGTCGTTGCCGGTGCTAGCTTTCTCTGTACATGTTTTGTCACCGTCAACACCAGCACCACCAGCACCACTGGCAGCACTTCTGGCAGCACCACTGGCAGCACCACTGGCAGCACCACTGGCAGCACCACCAGCACCACTGCCAAGCTAATTTCAACACCTCCACTGCCGCACCATCGTCATCGTCAGCGCTAATCATCATCCTCATCGTCATCACCACCATCATCATCACCATGATGACGATTAATGACCATCATCGTCACCATCGTCATCATCATCGTCACCGCCACCATCGTCATGACCACCATCATCATCACCATCACCATCATCATCAATCATCATCATCATCCTCACCCACATCATGATCATCATCACCATCATCATCATCATCAACATCACCATCATCAACATCACCAACATCAACATCAACATCAACATCAACATCAACATCAACATCACCACCACCACCACCATCATCATCGTCATTATCGCCGTCATCCTCATTATTGTCATCGCCATCATCATCATCATCACCACCTTTACCACCATTACCATCACTATCACCACCATCATCATCACCATCATCATCCCAATAGTCCCATAAGCATACACAACTTCATGTATGTATTTTCTCTAGGTTCTTCGAGGTCCAACAAACGATCGATACACCGCTTTTCCACTCGTTTACGGCATCGGAAGGCCCTTCAGTTCTTTGTTGAGCATCCTCGGCGAGAGCTGCGAGCGCAGCGCAATTCCACATTCCCGCCACGAGAAGTCACCAGGTCGAAACATATGGCGCCGGAGATGGCCAGGAGGCCGTGCTTCACGTTTTTGGGCCTTGGGGGCCTGAACTGGGGCTAAGGGCTTCAAATGATTTCGAATTGAGGCCGCGGAAGTGTTGAGGCTTCAGGGTTCCGCAGGATCTTTCGTGGCATGCGTCCAAGTAGATTATTAAGTAGATGGTCTCGTTGGTGAAAGCGGGGAGTCTCGAAGAACACATCACTGAGAAGGAGAAGCTGCCGTTTCCCCCTGAAGCCCAACCGATTCTACCCAACATCTTTGCCGCGAAGGCTCCCTACAGTAACCCTCCCTCAGCCCTCCCTGTGAACCGAACCGCGCTTCTCGCAACTGGCCTGAGAAATGCGTATGGTTTTCCGATTCTCAAAGGCAGAGGGAGTGTAGGGAGAGGAAGGCGAAGGCCCCGTGAGAAGCGCTTCTGGGACTCCCAGCCCGAAAACTGAAGGGGGCTCAGCCTAGGGGCTCAGTGAAGAGTAGCACTTTGCATCTTGCCGTGGCGGCAGTGGGAGATGAACTCCCAAGGCCCTGCATGCAAACTTCCGGGGAACCCGAACCCCAAGCCGGCCAAAAGCCGGAGCAGATGCAGGCGGAGGCAGAGGCCTTGTCCATGCGTGCGAAGCACGACCTCCAGGAGGATCCCAGGGGCGGCTTGCATGGGTGAATGTAGGCAAGGTCAGGTTGGAGGTCGAGGTTGAGTGTTTTAAGTTCAAGGGGAAGTGCCATGAGGCCACCCTCGTCTGCCATTCAGAGCTTGTCCAACAGGATTCGGGAACACTCGACGGGTGCAGGTGGAGCTGTCATCTTAATTGCTACGCTCTCGTCAGGAGCCGTGTCCATACCTCCTGCTTATCGACAAAAGTAATTCACGACAAGCTTCCGTTCCGTCGGCTCAAGCCAGACCGCAACTTAGATTTTCCCGGACATGAGAAAACAGGCCAACCAAAAGCGTCTGCCTCAGGAGTAGTCTTGGTTTCTTCAAAGACAGCCAGGCTTCCCTGGTTCCGGCCTTTACATAGCACTCACACAGCTTTCCCTCCCCGCAGATGGCCTTAGCCCAGCACTCCAACCCCTGCAGTCCTCGCCGCGCTCCATAGGAGCTACCAAGAAGACCCAAGATCCCCAAGCTCGAAGACCGCCCTCGACTCTCCCTGCGAATAGCTCCGAGCCATGCCGCAACGCACTTTGTTGGGCCTGCGGCTTAGTGTTGCAGACTGGGGTTTTTTGTCCACGCCATGTAGCTCCAGTGCGAGTCTTGAGAGTCTTCGTGCCTCCAGCTGGGGCGCATAGCAGAAGAACAACAATAATATTTATGGCAATGCTCAGAAGAAAGATGCTACAGCAGAATTGAAGAGTGCACATGGCAATGCTCAGGTTCATAGTAGCCTTCAGATCCCATGAGAGCAAGAGGAAGCCCACGACCACAGCATATCGGCAACAAGATGAAGGAAGCTTAACATCACTGCCGCTGAAGTGCCTCGTTAACATCTGTAGACAGACAGATCAGCGAAGTCTCAGCGATGTGTCACAAAACTCAGGCTTGGGGCTCTTGGCCTACCTGCACCTCGGCTTTTTCGCCGGGAGGGCCGGCCGAAGCTGCCCGCTTCGGGACCTCGAAGAAGAGATGGTAGAGTATCAGGAAGAAGGGAATGATATGCGAGCTCATACAATCAGAATGCATGCTAGGTTTCAGAAGAGTTTCCGAAGAATAACCCCTCAAGGGCAGCAGGAGCGTGGGTTTCAGGTTCAGGTCCCTCGCAACCCGGAGCATCGGCATGGCACGGTCACTAGAACTTTGAATGGGATTCCCTTACAGGGCTACAGTCAAAGCCCGTCTTGGAAGCTTCTTAGATGTCTGCGATTGCGTCTGCCCCGCAGTTCTGCAACAGCGCCCCTGGTGCCGTTGCCGCCGGCGGAGCCGAACCCACCAAGCTGGCCAAGTTCGGTGCGGTGGCCCAGCAGGGAGAGAATGCAATGAAGTCCAGCGGTGCAGCAACACCCCAAAACAGCGAAAAGGTGACGGGTTCTGCAACAGCTGTGTGCTCCCCAACAGATGAGACTTGTCCCAGGTCTACATCTTCGGCCCTGAGGCGTGATCTCACTGTTTCGGGGCTTGGGGGGTTTGGGCTTGTGGGGATGTATTGTTCAGGGCACCGGGGCGATAGGAATAATGGGCCAGAGTATCTGGCCCGCACATCTCGAGGCTGCAGTAGGCGATCTATTTCAGCCCTTGTCGATTCCCATGCCTGTGAACAAACTCTGAAGAGAGTAGATGACACGAGGTGATGTTCGAAGGCCTGGAGGTGCAGTAGACCATAGTAGACCTGAAGCCCCGGGTCCTGGACCCATCTGGACCCTGGCTCCAGGATGCGGTGAATGGTTCCGACTTGACTGCGAGGATTGCAGCTCTCCTGTCGGAGCTCAATAATGCCCCTGGGCTCTTCAGCCTAGACTCCCCGCCCTAGACCCGAAGAGTTTGGGAGTCGGAGGGGCTGGGGAGGCTGTCAGCCCGTGTTCGATGTTCGGCAATTAAGTCCAAGCTTGAATGGGTGGTGGAGGTAGTAGTCGTGGTATGGTGGGTTAAGGCGGTTAAGGATGACGTGAGCCAGCGTCAGAACCAGGTGACCACCGGCCACTACAGCTCCGATCGCAAGGCGCTGCTCTTCAAGCCTGGAACATACGCTACCCGCACCGCATGTGCCGGTTGTATAGGTAGGTCCCTGCAGTCTGAAACCATTGCCGATGTCATGCTTCGTGTGTAAACTGAGAGCAGGACTGCTGTGGTTTCGAATCAATGAATAACTCGGCTAGTGTGAGAGAAGCGAGCTTTGAGTGCCCAATCGTGGCCACCAAGGAAACAGATATCGAAGTGGGCTACTATGTCCAGGCACGGAGCAAGTTGGATTCTTGCGCGGATCTTTTCGGTGTAGTGGTAAGTCTGGGCCGTTGCCTGAACTCTAGACCCCACGCAGCCTGCAAACGGGCACCGGCGAGGTTTGGGCTCTCGAAACGTGTGGTCATGTCTCCGAGAAATCGGGGGGGGGGGTCTCCAAGGGAGCTTAGTGTTCGCCTTTTTGGGCTTGGACACCGGCTGCGGCGACAGGCTTAAAGGTGAACCTTTTTTTGGACGCCCAGATCCAAATCTCATGAAATATTGTTCAGTACACCTCCAAAAGAGGACAGCACTAGCAGCCTAAGATGATGGTGCTGTCCAGCCCTTCGTTTCGACCCGAGCTCACCTCCCAAGCTGCTGCACGGCAGGTTCTCGGCCTCGGCGAGCGGCCGGAGGACTGCGAGATCGGACTTTCGAGTCTTTTCTGGTTTTCTTGGGAATTGATGAATAGCAGCTTTTGGTACGAGGTCTCACAGCTCTTTTTGGAGGCGTCTCCGGGATTCAGCGCTTGGGCGCGCTCTCGCGAAACCGTTCTGCGTCACGTCACGTGTGCATGTGGAGCTGCGGCAATCAGAGGTTGTTCTCGAAAGACTGCAGAGTAGCTGCCGAGATGATCCAGCGACGGCTTCGAGTATCCTGCGCGAAGCAAGCCGAACCCGAGAAAATTACGAGAGGACGTGCAGTTCACCAGCGCGTCAGGTCCTTGGTGCGTCGCAGCCATGTCTTGTCGGTATTGTCGAAGTTGTGGCGCCCTGTGCAGCCCGATCATGCCGCTCATTTTCCGGCTGCGGCTGCGAAGTAGCCGTTCTTCAAGTGCTTGGACCAGAGGTGTTTGCGTGTGGGTCGCTTCGGGTGGTGACACTCCACTAAACGGGCAGACTGAAGCACACATCCTGGGATCTTCTGATACTTTCGCTGATTCACTCTTGCAAGTCATTCAGGTGGGGTGTCCACTCCAAGCCAATGGGCGCCATCCCGGATCCAGGATCGCTGGACAATTTCTGGCCGGATGGCAGCACCAAGTTCGTTGCATTTGGAGCTAGACTCTCGTGGACAGACTCTCCGGGATGCACAACCACTTGCATTGATCTTCACGTGTATCTGCTGCAGTTCTCCCCGGTTCCAACTGCCTCATGTTTTTGGCACCATACGCTTGCCCCATGCTTGCCACGCATGTCGATGGCTCGGAGAGAAAGCAGGTACCGTACCGCATAGCCGAGGCGTAGCGCAGAGAATTTCCACCATGCCTCTCCCTGGGGCATGCGCCTGGGCTGCTTTGAGCGTTTCTCTCAATATCTACCGCAGCCATCCGCAAACGACAAGTCAGCAAGCCGAAAAGGTTTTGTGATGGCCAAATGGTTGCTCTGCTTCCGGTACCGCAAAGGAGTGTCAGCTTTAGCATTGCTTTGTTCCAGGCTCTGGGCCGTCTCACAAGCATCGCCCATCCGACGAATTCGCGTCGACAAGCTGCTTGGCTCCACAGTAAGTTTTATGGGCAGAGATCTGAACATATCCAACCCTATGCCAGCAGTGTGCTCAGCACGGAAAGGGGCTCCAGAGCTCGGAGAACAGTTGAAGACCAAGGAAGGGCTCCGACAAGAACTTCCGTCATAGCATAAGCGGGGTCAGAAAAGCACCGATGCTCTCAAGCACTCTGCAGAACTGCAGCCTGAAGACATGCGACGCACAGCACCCAATCTCGTCTACTTCAAGAGCTCTCAGAGCTGCGCTGCAGAGACAGTAGGTGTGTGACAAGGGGTTCCGTGATACCGAGTTGCTTCAGGAACCTTACTCTCTCCGTGCCGGGTGCCTGGGCCAGTGGAGGCGAAGACAGCCAACAGACCGCAGCTCTCTCATAGTAAGCAGGTCAGAAGTGCATGAAACTGTGGAGCATGGTTTGAAGCATCATGCATCTAAATGGTTCGGCTTTCCTGTGCTGCAAGTCCGAAATGTCAGACTCAATTCGCAAAGAGTCGGACTTGTTCATGCCACTACTGACCGTGCGGGGAAGCAAGATGTCGGTCACTGATGCTGCTTCAAGCCTCGTGCAGGATACATGGCCGATATGCAGGTGGGCTGCCTGCAACTTGTGCAATTTGACGCCCCTACCCGACCCTTCAGTATGCAGTGCTGATTCTAACCGAAATCTAACGGCTTCAGGTGGGCGGCTCGACCGTACTGGGCGGCCAGCAGCTTCTTTCAATCCATGCAGTCGTTCTGGTTAGTGATGGTCGAATTTGCGTAGGTAACTGTCCGAACATGCATTGATGATCTACAGCATGCTGTCGGAAAGACTTGGGTTTTGCAATGATGGCAACCAGGCAGCAGTGGATTGTCCGAAACTCCAACATCTCCACGACGGATGCTGCTGTGTTGGGTGGCCAGTGGAATGTTGTGCTTGTGGGATGCACTGGCTTCTTGGTTGCCACTTGCTACTTGTAGGTCCTTATTCTGCCAAACGAGGAGAGGAACGTAGCTCCCGTTCCTCCCCCAGTCTTGATTCACCTTCGCTGCTGCCACCTCTGTGCGTAGGCAAAGAGGTCCGAGTTAGAAAGCCAGACACCGTAGCGACAGGTCCTGTGCCAAAGGGGCTTTGTCTAGGCGTTAAATTGAGCTTTCTGCATCAGCTTTAGGAAACACGAGACACCCTTCCGATGTTTCGGAATAGGCTTCCAAACTCCTGACTCCGATCAGGGTACACAGAAGTACAGGGGTTCATTGATTCATGCCCTTCCATGCCTCGAGCCGAGGCAGCCCACGTGAGACCCTGCCGGCCGAGGGCTCGGAGACAGCATTGACAAATGTGCTCCCGAATGCAACTGGCATGTGCATGTGCGGGCGGTGCATTCAAGGAAGAATTTAGGCGCCTGGTTCTCGGCTCGTGTGGAATCAAACCTGCATCCAGCACACGTTTTCCTTTGCTACTGCGTTTGACGTTGTGGGCAATCGAGCCGTCAAGGTAGCTTTGACCCCAGTCATCGCTGAAAAGCCTTACATCACGATCGCCACTTGCCTGCACATTAGTCGAAGCTCCCGTCACATTTCCACTTGACCACATGTCCGAGCCTGAAAGCTGACAGGCGCTTCTTGGTTCATGGAAGCATGATCTTTCGAGCCATGTAGAACGAGCTGCGTGGCATCCTTTGCCGACTCCTTCCGCGGAATGTCCTGGAAGCCAGACACGAGTAGATGAGGCGTCACTCAACGATCGGAGTTGTCTGCTGCGACTTGCATCAACTGCTGAAAGTCCGTTGCCAAGAATTTAGAGGCAAAGACACTCAAGGAACAGACCCGGGACGCAATGCACCGGAACCCGATGTCCAAAATGTCAACCACCTACCAAATAAGCAGCTCCAAGTAATTCAATTCCGAACTCTGAGTGCCTAAGAAGTCCCCCGTCGCATTCAACGAGGAAGCCACCGGCCGCTACAACTTGCAGGTCCCCAAGCCGAAATTTCGCCACATGGCGCAGACACATCGCTGACTTTGGAGATTGGGTTTTCGGAGTTTTGGGGTTTGGAGTCAAGGATGCCGAGGTCCTGAACCCTCAAAAACCCCCCCAGGCCCTTAAGCCCCCGCTTTGGAATCATATGGATCGCCAAAATCTGTTGGCCACTCGTCCTTTCGGCTATTATCTTGCATATCTTACTCAGTAGCTGCTTATGCACGCCGTATATCATGTCTACATCTACACGTACATCTCCCGCAATCTTTTGGGCAGATGCATAGGAAGTTGGGCGTGCAACGCGTGGGAAGGCACTGTTAGTACTGCATCTCGAGGGTTGAAGGTGCCGAGCAGGGTCAGCAGCAGCAACTTCGGGTGGGTTGCAGGCCAGACGTGATTCTAGCAATTACTGTTGATCCGTTGAACTTCGCTGCCAGGAACGAGAATTCCCGCACGGAGAGTCTGAATATCCGAAACTGACATTAAAGCTTTTGCTACCCAGGCTCCGTCGGGCCAGCCGTGGAAGAAGCCACGACTGTTCCTTTTGAGCAGGTCCGCGGGCCAGGGCTCCATGTGGGACTTTCCGAAAATTGGGGTACCTTACTTTGGGGTCCTTATAATAAGGTTTCTACTGTTTAGGGTACTATACTAAGGTCCCCTATTTTCGGAAACCCCCATGTCATGAAAGACCAGGAAGCATCGGCCGTGCTGCGAGGATGATCATTGCTTCCTTTATGTCTAAAGCACCCTGTAGGCCTGTGGCACCCGGGTTCCACACCCGCCCAGGTTCCGAGATTCATAGAGACTACTTCCCAGCCATCATGCAAACCACATTCCGGAACCATACGCGCTTCCTGAGAAGCCACGAAAATCCAGGTCTACGTAGCTCGGCGACTTAGATGCAGCCAAGCATGCAGAGCTGACATACGTTTCAGGCAGCCTTGTCTTGCAAGCTCCGTCTGTGGATTCTCATTTCCTCTGTCTGAGGGCCGAAGACCTGACCTCGACGATCCAGTCGAAGCTGACCTCTGGGCTTCACGTGGTGCTCTCCCCTGGACCTTCAGCAGACCTAGGTGAAGTTTGTGCTTTCCGCAAAGAGCTTTATATACTAGTGAGAAGCCACACTGGGACACCGGAGTCAATGACTCCGAAGGTTTTGATAGACATTGAAGGAGCTTCTATAAGCTTCTGCCCGTACATGGGGAGCTTCTATGCAAAGAAAGTGTCGGCAGCATAGGCATTGCTGCCTGCATTTCAAAGCAATTCCAATATTCTAATGGTTGTGCAGGTTGAGCCTGTTTCCGAGTGCAGGCATTACTTTATGTTTTATGGCTATGGCAGCGAAATAGATCTTCATTCTTGAGGCTCTTACTCTTGACAGCATTCCGCAACTGCCCTGAACTCTGCGGCAGTTAGCTTGAGAGTCGCGCAGACGAGGAATTTACAACCTCACCGCGACCCTGACCCTCACCTTCAAGAACCAGGCCTGCTCGGATTAACATAAGCTTGGGATCCCGAACAGTAACTCCAAACCCCAAAAATCTCAAGTGCCCAAAAGCCTGAAACCAACAGGCAAATCCAAAATCCTATATCCCTAAACTCAAAAGGGGAGGTGCTTCTCTATGTAAGGCTTAGCATTTTCTTCTGTGCTGTGGTCTTTGTCACACTCCCGTTTTGCTGCGTGGGGCCCCTTGCCTTTGCTTCTCCCAAGCCGAAGTTGAGAGACAGGTGTTACTGGGAATAGGCATGGCGACGCTGGTCGCTCCCAAAGACGGCTCCTTGGCGTTCGCAAGATGGGGGGTTTCTGAAGATCAGGGGTCCCCAGCTCGGGGTCTGGATTGCAAGCATGGTCCTGCTGTTGGTACTTCTACGAGGGTCCTCTACGAACTATATAACTATATAATTCTTGGTCGGAAGAGTCGCCTGAGGGCATTGCGAACCACGGCGAAATTGTGCCAGATTTCAAGAAGCAAGGCCAAATCTTGAACGCATCTGGAAACGCATCGGCTCTGCATGAACGATGTGTGAAGCGCTGGCGTTTCGGAATCTGTTGTCTATTGACTTTGCTCCTGACTCCTGGTTCCTGCAGCTTTCATTCATGGCCCTCGCCCAATTTCTGAAAGGAAGTCCATGCGTGCTCGTTGAAAACGCCGCGACGGGTGCCCGCGTGGCTGGGATTGTGCTGCAGGCAGGGCCGAGATTGACTCCTGAGCTATTCCTCAAAGGTTTGCCAGCCCATGGTATGTATTCGGCTGCTAACTCTAGCTGTTCTTGAAGTCCTGGCGCCCACATGAACATGCAGGTCCGGTCTTGTTTTCAGAAAAGCCTACCATAATGTCAAGCCTCAACTGGTGGAGGTGTGCTCCGAAGAGGTTTCTGCTCAAGTCGGTGATTCGAATATGTCGCGTGTACTCCCTGGCACCACATACGCTGGAGCCGTCAACAGGTCTGAAGCGATTGCAGATCAAGCCGTTGCATGGAGGTGTTGTGGTCAACGGTTACTTGCTTCTTTTCGAGAGGTTCCTCACTCGGAAGCCCAAACCCTTACACTTTACATCATCCCTGCCAATACTGCCCGGCTACTTGAATCACAATTGCTGCAGTCGCACTTTGCGACGGACGGGTCAGGCCAATTTCGCCTTCGATAAAGCCACGGGGCCGCTTGATCCCAGTTATGGCAGGAGTACCAAGAAGTAAAACGCTCAAAGGGACAGTGCCAGCAGGCTTGCGCAACACACAGCCAAGCGAGATCAGTGAAAGGGCACGTGCAGGGTCGATTGCGCGGCATCTTTCATGTCCTGTCCCCGGCCAAGATCGCCGCCGCCGTCCAGCCTGCTGGAGTGGGGCCGGTCTGGGGTCACAGCGGGCGAGGCGGATCCGGCGAACCCAGGTCGGGTAGGGGGAAGAACTTTTTCAGATTCGATGGTTTCCCGGGGTCCAGTAGATTGATCACTATTCCACTGCTAGTGCTGATACTATTGCTAAGACGACGACCACGACGACGACTGCCGCCCGCCGCCGCCGCCCCCACCACCACCACCACCACCAGCAGCAAGAGCAACGGCAACGGCAACGGTCAACAACAGCAGCAGCAGCAGCGGCTGCGGCGGCAGCGGCAGCGGCGGCAGCAGCGGCAAAGGCAACGCCAACGGCAACAGCAACAGCAATTGCAGCAGTAGCAACAACGACAACGGCAGCGACAACGACAACGACAACGCTGCTCCCGCTCCTGCTCCTGCTGCCAGTGCCACGGGTAAGAATAGTCAATAGCCATGGCATCGATGACAAGACTTCTGTTAAGGATGCTGCTCGTAAATTTCTCGCCGCGCTGATCTCAGAACTCTGGAACACGATGCAGAACCCTGGCATAGGCGTTCTCTCCGATGTCTTCGCCCGTGTTGGTGGGCCGGACACCGACCGCAAGATAGGTGCATTTGCAAGCGATGCAGACTAGGAGGCGTAGGTTGTCAGGGCATTGCACGACAACCACCACCAAGCAAAGTCGCCTATTCTTATTCATTAGCTGGAGGAACTTTGTAACATTGCCTTCAGCGTGCCCCTAGATTGAACTTCCGGCGCTAGACATCCGTCAGTTTGAGTTTCAGTCTGTGGATCGGGTATTGGAATACAGGGTTTCTCGTCTGCGCGAGTGTGTGTCTGTGTTCTGTGAGGGGCTCGGTCTCGGGGAAACCTGAAGGTATTGTATCTGGGCAGATCAGGTGCAGATGTGGCAGTCCACATCTACTCCGACAATGCTACCTGTTGGCAGAGATCTTGTGTTGCTCCGTACCGAGAGTTTTCGTTGGAGACGACTACAGTTACTACAGTTGCAGCTGCTGTCACAGTTGACCATGGATTGACTGTGACAGAAGAAGATGAAACATTTAAAATTTTAACATGTTCACGGACATAAGACCCACTTTACCCGTCCCAGAAGCCCCTTAGCAAATGAACAGACGCCACACACGTGGAGTCTTCCGCCGATCCTAAGTCAAGAACCCTTCAAGACGGCCCCGAAGCCGTCAAAAGATCGAAGGCTCTACCTCCTGTCACGGGTTCTCCGAAACTCCGGCCGCTTGAACCTTAAAAGGCCCGAAAATATGTGACATGCACCACGATGCTGCAGCGATTTGGCTTCCAGAGCTTTTCCCTGGGCAAGCAAGTCTTCCTAGCCGCTCGACAGTTGCTGTGGGAGGGGTTGTGGATTGAGTCCAGGACCGTTCGGGTGATGTTGCTTCAGGGCGTTACGGCTCGTGCGTCTTCGAGTATTTGGGACCTTCGGGCTTGGGGTATGGAGTATAGACCGACATAGAGGGCTATCTGTTCGCCACCAGTAGCAAATCGAGCATCATCAACGTTACCAGCTCGAAAGCGAACGTGGTCGACTGATCCTGAAACGCCCCAGGAACTGAACGCTGGCCCCCGCCTAAGACTGTCAGACTTTCCGGCCCTCCTCGTTCCTTCGCAGACGCCTTCCACAACTTTTACATCGCAGCCGGCCCTGCACCTTACCCCTCAACCCAAGGAGACATGTCATGCCCATCGTGCTCCATAGCCGAAATCGCTGGTCGCATACTGGGCTTGTACAACCCTGGTGCAAGACGCTGGGCTTAAGAGCACGCTGATCTTCTGGTGAGATGGTTCTGATGGGTTTTGCTCTCTCGTCCTGGTGTATGCATTTTGGACTTACATGGATACTGCTGGTGTGGGGAGCTATTGTGCAGCAGGTAGCCAAGTTGCTGATGTCTTCCTGCTAAGTTTGAGACTGGAACTTGGGCGTGTTCGAATCTTTCGCCTTCCTTTGTCAGCTGCGAGGGGTTTTGCCACAGGGGCTTGCAGGACTGTGTGTTCGTGCTTTTTTACCACAGGATTCCACGCCACCTTGAGGTGAAACCTCCCTGCGATTTGTAGGGCACCCTCAACAACTTCCAGGTCCAAAGCCCGAGACCCAAGCGCCTCCACGTCTCAACACACAACTCCATCTCCCTCTCAGCCGACGAGAAGCCTGCGCTCAACCCCGACCACACCGTCCCTCTCTGCACTCAGCGTCCCGGGTTTAGACTCTTTGGAGGTTTTGCAGTGGAGTCGGCATTGGGAGTTGAGTAAGCGTCCCTTGTGAGGCCTAGCAGTGGGGGGCTGTGGTGACAACTCCGTATTCTCCGGAATTACCGACTTCACTTGATATCCTCTTTGTGCGATCTGTGTTCCTACAGTACGATACACCAAAAGCAGCCCGCATTAGGTATTGTCCCCAGAACCCAGCACATGCCTGTCTTTGTCACCTGAACCCTTAAGACGTGGCAAGGTGAACTGGGTCAAGTGGCATGAGCTGCTGAAGGCCTGGCCAAGCGAGCCGAATCCTTCTGCTCGAGTTTCGTACAAACGCGCATTACTTGTACGAGCTTCAAACATCGTCGGCAGCACGGCGCATCGTCGCCAAGTCGTCATCGGTGGCATCAAGATGGTCGTCGTGCACTTTCATGTTTCACTATTTGAATGGATGCCTGAGTCGGACAATGAAGGGTCGTGGTCCCGCATCAGCAAAACCCTTCATGATCCTTGCTCGCTTTCTGCAGCCAGATGCAGCCCGATAATGTGTCTACATCTTTCCACGTGGCTCCGATCTTTGATTTGCGTTTCTGTCAGTGGCAGGATTCAAAGCTCCCCTACATGACCTTTGATCCGCCCCAGAAGAAGGCGCGTCGCTTGAGAAATGTGAGGACTTGGTATACGCCGTGCAGCTTCGATGATTACTCATGACGGTTGCCTTGCAGAGTGCGTCACTGTGTTCGCAGTTTTCGCAGCATCCGCCTGGCCATCGTGAGTTGCCTTGATGTTGTGAGTATTTTCTGCTTTTGTTGCGATGAGCATTACTCCTGCTTGTCGGTCCAGAGTCCGCGTGGTTGACAAAGTGCCGGGTTGCGCGGCTTATTTCACAAGCGATGTTGCCGTGACTTACTGAGAGTTTATCAGAAACTAGCGGACGGCAGGAAGTGGCCGCAACGTGACAGGCGATTAGTAGCACTGATGACAGCCAATCTCAGAAACAAGGAGGCTAACCCCAGCAAGTGTACTAAGTTTCCAGCTCACTGTGAAAACACACCACAGCTCCACGAACGCAGCACGTGCTCAAACAAGCAGAACTACGACGAGACCATGGACAAACAAGCAGAACGGCTTCAGTTGCACTTCTGCCATCCCTACCATCACCATCACCAGCGTCATCGTCATCTCCATCAGCATCACCATCATCATCAACAATACCGCCAGAACCCCATCATCACCAGGATCATCACCATCAAAACCATCGCCATCGTCGCTGTCATCATCATAATCCTCCTCCTCATCCTCCTCATCGTCATCGTCATCATCATCATCATCGTCATCATAATCATCATCATCGTCATCGTCATCGTCGTCATCGTCATCATCATCAGCATCGATCATCGTCATCGTCATCGTCATCGTCCTCATCATCATCATCATGATCATCATCACCATCATCCTCATCACCCTCATCATCATCATCTTCATCATCATCACCATCATCATCCACATCATCATCCACATCATCATCATCATCGTCATCGTCGTCATCGTCATCGTCCTCCTCCTCATCATCACCAGCATCGTCAGTATCGTCATCCTAATCATCATCCACATCATCATCATCATCATCGTCGTCATCGTCATCGTCATCGTCACCGTCACCATCATCATCGTCATCATCATCGTTGTCATCCTCACTATCACCACCACCACCACCATTATCATCATCATCCTCACCATCATCATCATCATCATCATCTTCATCATCATCATCATCCTCACCATCATCATCATCATCTTCATTGCAATTTCATTCTCATCAGGGTCATTCACCATTATGTCCATCCTTTGTAGTGGCACCCGTTTTCATATTCCTTTCAGCTTGCTCTAGCTGACTCTAGCTCCTGATCTGAACCATCAGAAGGCTTGCCTGCCAGCAGTGTTGGTGCCCTTGCGGTTGATCGTGATCTTTAAGCAGCAGCAAGGGAGTCGGGACTGCCGCAACAGGAACTTCACAAAGGAATGCAGCAACCGCAACGGGCAGCAGCTTCGCATCGCGGGCTGACTCAAGTCCTGTCCAGTCGGAGCCACTCATATCATGTCCGTCAGTCTCCCGGGGAGCATAAGTAGCTGCTTTAGTCGATCTGCATCTGGCGATGAATTCCTCCCCAAAGGATTTGACCTCTCAATTCTGGACAGCCCAGCCCGATCGCAGCCTCGGAGGTAGGCTTCTCCAAAAGCTGCCGCAACTGCTATTTCTTCCCGCCGAGGCCAGCCGCAGCATTGTGAGGTTGATTGCCATGGCTACTGTTGCACTTATGATGTTCTTATGGCAAATAATATGACTAGACTTAGAAGTCTTGCCGCTACTTTTGCCAAGGTGTACTTCCGAATATCACGATTTCTGCTACGCTGTATGGCTGTAGATGGAATGTCCCAAGAATTGGCATGTGATCCTTGCAAGAACAGGCCTCATGCTTTCCGCGAGATGAATACTTACCAGCAAGAGTTCGACTAGCGTACGCGTGGGCACAAGAAGCTTGTAGGAACCAAGCGTGGAAGGCGAAACTGCCGGAGAAACGAAATTCAACAAGCGGAGGACTTTTTGTAATGCATACTAAAGCTTTTATAGCACCCGTAGTTGCATGTTTCCATAAAGCCTATGTCGATCTACATCGACCTGTTGGGCAAAAGCAGCACAACAGAGAGAAACAGGTCCTGGAAATCCACTTGCTTTGGTGTTCCACTGGCCGCCTAGTTTCCCAATGATAAATCAGCAGGGCCTTCGACAACCCAGTACACGAAGCGCAAAGATGCCTGCCAACCGGCTCGCACCAGAAGCAACATGTGTCGAGAGAGGGTTTGGTTACGTTATTTGATGTACTTTGCATGCCACAGGCTCTCTCTTTCTCTCCCTGTCTCTCCCTCTCTGCTTTCCGTCCTGCTGTCTAGCCGGCCAGCCTACTAGCTAGCTAGCCAGCTACCTGCTGACCACCGGTCTGTATGTGTATCTAGCTGACGAAGTACGATTTTTCCTTCACCTCTTTGTCCATCTTCGTTGTTTGGCTGTGCTTAGCTGTTGAAGGGCTTCTTTCCTGCCCATGACCATCCAGCTCACATGATGTTGGGATGCCTGCAGAGTTCATCTTAGCCATGCCCACAGAAGTCTTACTGAAACCAAGCCACTGTCTTCTGCAGCCGGCACACCTAGGCCGACCACGCTCAATCGTTCGATCTGCGCACAACTAGAGGAGCCAAATCGAAGCATACTTTTCAAAGCAGCACATATAGGGCCGTGATCTGGGCCTTACATGGAGTCATAAGGATCTTTGAATAAGGTAGCCTACTTCTGCGACCTGCAGCAGGTCTTGGATCGGGAAGGCCCCACCCTGCTGCTTCGCAGATTGCCTCCAGCACCAATGCAGCTCTGCTAAGTCAGTGTGGTTTTCCGGCTCTGCAAAAGCCCACTGACTGGCACATCATTTTCCAAGGCTGAATTGGAGGTGATTTTGTAGGGTCTTTCTTTTGGGGTTTATGAAGCTCTACGGGGATGGAAGCGGTCCAGTGCAACTTGTTGACATTTCAAACACGCACTGAACAACATAATTGACGATCTAGGGTGCATCGGAAACTAAATTCCTGCAAATGCTAGATGTTTTACATGCTCAACAGAGCCTGCACCCCAAGACGGGACCGACGCGGAAAGCATCATCGTTCTGACAAGGAAAGTAGAGTGTTGGACGATGGGATTTGTGAGCCCTAAGCAGTTGCGTGTGAGGAGTGCTGGACAAACCGATGCAAGTCCTGGCCCAGAACGCCTCGACATCAACACATGGTCGGTTTGTCGGAATCATGTCTGAAGCTTGAGCTTCCGAGATGGCCCCTATTCCCACCTCCAGATCTCCGACGCGGATGCGCCTTGTCGTGTCACAGTCTGCAGGCACTGCTCAGCCCTAATCCACGTGGGCATTTGGCCCTCGTTCGTTCGGAAGTAAGTTCAGCCAGTTGTTACAGAATCTCCGCTACTAGATGGGGCCAATGAAATCCAGAACCGTTGGTATCGACGACTTCCGTCTTGGTGGAGGACCCTTCATGATGCCGACGTATCGCTGGCCCAAGCCCTGCTTGCCTAGTCGTAAAGACTCTCCACAGTGCAGCCAAGCTACATCCTAGACTCTTAGACTCATCCATCGTGGTTCCTGAATTTCGATGACGCCTCTGGGCCTCAAAGCCTCTTTCGAGGTGTCTCTTGCCCCCGGCGCCTCTATAAGCTTTCCTACTCCATGCCTAACACGGGCCTGGCCGAAATCCGCTGAGGCGTGGCTCGGGAAGATGCTCCAACGCGACGCTCCCAACTGTCCGGATTTCCTCCGTGGCGTCTGGTGGATGCGGGACGATTGGGCTTGGGTTACCGCATACGCTGCTGCAGTTTCCCCGGTCAGAACCGCATCCTGAAGCTGACCTCTCCCGATCTCCAGTGTGCAGTGCACCATGGACTTCACAGAAAAGTTCGAACCACTGTCATGGCAACCCTTGCCTCCATTTCATCCCACAATCCTGCAGCCAGGACAATGTAGCAAACGAGACGATGCTGACGTTTCAGGCTGCCGTGCTGCAGCACACGTGAAGCTCTTTGGATGTGGTCCGTGTCAGTGATAAGGGCTCGCTCGGTGTCGCCCAGCTTCTTCCGATCGCAATGCCGCCTGCCAATGACGTCATTTTGTTCTGCCAAATCGGCTCCGAATTGGTTGCATGCTTGTTGTGGCCACCATGCATCAGGGGTTTCAGAAAACCTGAGTCAGATCCACAGGGACGAAATTTATGCCAAACCCTACTAAGCTGCAATGGAGTGCAACGGATTCCTGAATCCGACTTTGCTCGAGCCTTGACGTTGCGAAGTCAAGAAGTATCCCTTGGAAGCTCCTGCACAAAAATACCTCCTGAGAGCTGTTGCTGCTCCATAGCCCTCACCGTCATCATCGTCATCCTCCTCTTCTTCTTCTGTTTCATCTTCATTTTCTTCAAATGTTTATCGAGTTTATCGTCGTCTTCGCCCTCGTCCTGCTCCTCGTCCTCGTCCTCGTCGCCGTCATGTTCGTCGGCGTCGTCGTCATCAGTGTCGTCATCGTCGTCATGGCCGTGATTCCCATGATCATCAAGCATGTTCGTCCGTCATCGTCAGCTGTCAGCATCAGCGTCATCGTTGTCAGCACGATACGGCCATCCTCAGCAAGTATCAAAGGCGGCATCGCTCCCACCACACCGTCGTCAGCATCGTCAGCAGCAGCAAAGAAGCATAGCCGAGGTAGCCGCACGGCGCCAGGCGGCAGCAGTAGCAGAAGAAGCAGCAGCACAAGAAGAAGAAGAAGAAGAATAAGAAGAAGAAGAAGAAGCAGCAGCAGCAGCAGCAGAAGCAGCAGTTCAGCAGAACATCAGCACAAGCAGTGACGACAACAGCGACGACAGGCACCTTCAGCATGACCCTCACCTTCGCCCCGGCCCACTCAAATCATCAACATGATCGGTCTCAGATTCTTCCACGTTGACCAGTGCAGTCTTTTTCGTTATCTTTCTCGTAGCATCATCCTGTTTGCTGGGCTCACTGCTACATGGGTTGCCAGGATGGCGAATGGAGACAAGATGGGCGAGTAGGAATGAAAGAGACTCGATCGCACAATCGATAGGAAAAGCAGGAAGCTCAGTACATAGCCTTCTTTGTACTCATCCGCAACCATGGACGTCACAAGCACCCCTTTGCAGCATTCAACGCATCAGTGTTCAGAATGTAGAGGATGCCCAAGCTTCCACGATGCATACGTTCCATTGAAGCTACCGACGCCGCCACTGCACCCTGTCATGATACAGCATTGTTCAGCGGACACGTGGATGTGACGCAATGCGCAGAATTTCTGCATCAGGCTCTGATGCTCACATATTGAGTTTTCTGGTATTGTGGTTAGCAAATGTTAGCAAATGGCCGGCTATCGGTATTTGCCAGTCGATCCTAGTGCCTGCCGTGCAAATCCCTGAGGCGGTGACGTTCGGCCTGAGATTATTTGAGATTCAGCAAATTCAGGGTAAGCCCGATAAACTGGATCCTTCTATTCAGGACCGCTAAGCCCGCTAGGCAATGGTGTTCACCTTTCATTCCATTGCCAGACTCTTTCATAAAGAACTTGATGAGTCCCCCAAGATGTCATAAGACCGTCGGCATCAGCAACCCAGTCTTCCGCATCACGAGCAGCACCAGCACAGCAACATCTGGAACCGCCTCAGCAAAAATGATCACCCGTCAGCCTGCACGATCAACGGCGGAGCGCGCACAGCGAACTTGCCTTTGGTGAACTGTTAGCATCTCTACTGCAGCTGTCACGAGCGACAGTAGCACGCCTGACCACACCCAGGATGCCGGAACGAACTGGACAACGGGCACCAGCATGTGCCGAGCTCAGAACCTGCAATCCCGCTACGATCAGTCGGGTCTGGCCTGGGTTGGTACAGAGAGTCCTTGTAGAGCCTGAAGTCGTGGGGAAGGTCTCATGTAATTTCGAACATCACTGCCCTGACTGTAAAAACCCGCTAGGACTGCGAATGTCGATCCCATCGAGAGTTGTGAGGCATATGTCGTCGTCGTCGTCGTCGTAGTAGGAGTAGTAGGAGGAGGAGATACCACACTGAGAAGACAATCAGGTTCGGATCCCTGCTGGCAGCGATCAAGAGATTCCCTGTCACGTTCGAGATCGAGCCTGGAGAGTGCCTGAGCCACGTGAAGTTTTCGTGTCCTTGCTCTCCAACCTACGAAATCGACCCCTGTGTCTTGAGCGTTGGCATGACGACCTGATAGTACGCAATGGTCCCTTTCGACCCGTGTCAGGAAATAGGAAGCAGTTTTTGGTTGCCATGAGGAACCCGAAGTGGATGGGACTTCGGAACGGTGATGACTGGATATATCTCCTTGGAGAAGAGGTGGGCGAAGTCGTGAAATAACTTTGAGGCTCCGGAGGGTGCCTGGCCATACCTGATGGCAGTACATCTGCAAACACAGGGTTCGGCTAGATGCGATCTTCAGCAGCCGTGACAGTGTTCGTTGAGGCATTTCATGGGGGTGCGAATCTGTTTGTCTTCGTCCTAATAGGAGCATGTGAGAGACGCAGTTGCCGCATATCTTTGCATCCCTTCTCCCCTTGCTGCATCCTGTCTCAGCTGTCTCCCTCTGCAACACATCGGCTTGGAGAAGGTTCCGCTAATGTTGTTATACTCTCCGATGCTGGTCATTAGCACCGTTAGCACCTCGCTTCCGACCGCCACCTCCACCCTGACGAACACCGCCGAACAACGACCCCAACCACAGCAGCAACAACATCAACAATAACATCAACATCGGCAGCAACAGCAACAGCATCAGCATCAGCAACAGC